AGAGAGAGAGAGAGAGAGAGAGAGAGAGAGAGAGAGAGAGAGAGAGAGAGAGAGAGAGAGAGAAAGGGCTTAGCTAGATCATAAGAGGACGGTAACTATGACTAATCTTCAACCCCATCGAAGGTGTGAGAAGGGAAATAATATTACTTGAGTAGGCAGGAAGTGCAATGAAGTAACTTCCAAAATGTGTGTTAGATGAGAGAGACAACTAACTGGCTGCTACCTGGGCAATCACTCAACGTCATTTTGCAATGTGGAAGCAACCATCTTTGGCTAAGGCCTAGAGTAACTGACAGACCATTTTCAGAGGCAGGAAAATTTTCAGAACCCTCTTACCCTGTCTTGGCAAGATTTGGCAGTCTTTCTTCTTGTATCCTACTTGTCCAGTCCAGACACTGTGCACTTTGTCAGTGGCCAAGGCATGGGCAGTTCCTCGCCCAAAGGCCAATTGTGCCAAGAAGAAAACAAACTCCAAGTGGAGTGCCTGGTGCTCAACACTCTCTCAGGAATAGATTGGTGCTGCCAGGAGCAATCCTGTCTCACGTCAACAGAACCCTAAGTTATTTAAATGTCATATTCTACAGCTCTTTGAAGTGGTTGAAAATTACCTATCTATGCAGAATACAATCTCTATGTATCTGAAGAACCTAATTAGTCTGACTATAAGTATGACAAACACGAATGACTTATTGACCTATAATATACTTAATACGTATTATATTAATACGTATTAATAAGTGAAGACCAAGTCAGAATATTAAATAATCTTTAAACAACTGTACAGTAAATGAGGACAATGACCTCAAAATGTAAACAATGTATTAAGTATCTTGATCAGAGGTAGAAATATATAATGTAATATGATAACTATTCCTAAAATTATATCAATATACAAAATATCTTAAGCAGAGGTAGAAACGCACATGCATACAATCTGACAAAATTACTCTGCATAGGTGTACAAATATTGTAAACAGAAATAGGAGCACAAATATAATTTGAACTTGTATCAATATACAAGAACCTATAAATCAGCCAGGCAGTGGTGGCGCACGCCTTTAATCCCAGCACTCGGGAGGCAGAGGTAGGTGGATCTCTTGTGAGTTTGAGGCCAGCCTGGTCTACAAGAGCTAGTTCCAGGACAACCTCTAAAGCTACAGAGAAACCCTGTCTCGAAAAAAAAAAAAAAAAAAGAACCTATAAATTTATACAAATGTAAATTGTCCATAAATAATAGTTTACAAGTATTCACTCTATTCCTCAGAATTATTAGTGTAAGTTCATACTAATCTGCCTACTATCCCATCCAATTTTCCCTTTTTTTTTTCAAGGAGATCTCTGGGCTGACATAATTTCCACCCCAACTCCCAACCCTACATGAGTAACACTTAACCCCTAAATGATATCCCTAGACCTGAGGACAAGCTTTGTTGGGAGAGGGGACGCTGTGTTCTAGAATTGCTCTGAACCACTGAGCTATCTCACAAGAGTTCCCCAACCCCACTGCATTTTGTTTTACCCTGAGAAATGTCTGAGTCAGCTGAAAACACAGGCTTTATGATTTGCATCCCACAAAAAAGGGCAAAAATTTCAGCTGTATGCTATGAGAACGCTGTGTATTTATATGATTAAAGGGTAGAGATGGCTCAGCAGTTAGGCTTACACACACATAGTAAGATACATCTTGGTAAAGAAAATTAAGAAAAAACTATTGGATTTTCAAAAATACAGATATACTTAGGAAACTTATGGATCCTCATTCCCTTAAATAGGAAATATTTTTATGACTCAAATGCCCCCTCATAAAAGCTATAGATCTCAAGAATAAAGAAATTATCTTAAGACACAAAAACAAACACACATTTACAGGCTTGTTCCCAGCTAACTCTGGTAGTAACTGAACAGCAACAAATGAATACGTAAGACACAAAAAGGGCGGAAGGCCTTGTACCTCTGAAACACCCACCTAACTCCAAATAAGCTAAGGAATCAATAATGAAGTGTCAGAGATTTGGCAGGGAGGTCTGAAGAGACCTGTTTTTATTTTTGTTTACATCTGTTCCTCTGTAAACCAATTCCTGAGCTAACACTGCAGTGTAAACTAGGAGAGAGATGCAGCTGAAGCTTTTCCTATGCGAAAACAAAACAAAATTCCAAAGCCCCAAACCATGGGTCTCTTTCCTGGGTAAAGCTTCAGGGAAAATACAGCTATAAATTGGGTCTGCTGCTGATGTTGGTCTTCGGATGATGGAGAAGATTCTGCGACAGGAGCTTTTTATTCTCTCTTTATGATCAAGACACTTGTGGAGTTTCTCTTTGGTATAAACAATCAGATGCTGAGGAATTTGTTTCTTGTGACAAAAGATCTCCCTCAGAGGTTACATTCAAGAAGTCTTTGCCTAGAAGGAGTTCTTGGAGGGTAACTGAGGTGTGCACGGTTGTGAGAGGTCCCTCATGCGACACACCGGCATGGTTTCTCTCACTGTGCATTTTTTGATGCTGAGCGAGGGATGAGCTGCGGCTGAAGGCCTTCCCACAGTCACTGCACTTATATGGCTTCTCCCCAGTGTGGATGATGGTGTGGCGAATGAGGTTTGTGCTCCAGTAGAAGGATTTCCCGCACTCAATACATTCAAAAGGCTTTTTCCCACTATGAATCCGCTTGTGCCTCGTAAGACCAGACATGAGGGCAAAGGCCTTCCCGCACTCGGCACACTCATAGGGCCTCTCCCCAGTGTGGATGCTGAAGTGGCGAATGAGGTCTTTCCGATTGCTAAAGGCTTTCCCACATTCTTTGCACTCAAAGGGCTTCTCTTCAGTGTGGGCTCTTTTATGCAAGATGAAAGTAGAGCAGTGGGTGAAGGCTTTCCCACACTCGCTGCACACGAACGGCTTCTCCCCAGTGTGGATGCGCTGGTGCCTCTTGAGGTAGGACCTGTGGTTGAAGGCCTTGCCACACTCGAGGCACTCAAAGGGCTTCTCCCCGGTGTGGATCACATAGTGGTGGACCAGGGCTGTGCTCTCCAGGAAGACTTTCCCACACTCACTGCACTCGTACGGCTTCTGCCCAGTGTGCATCTGCTGGTGCCACATGAGGTAGGACCTGTGCTTAAAGACCTGTCCGCACTCAAAGCACTCGTACGGGTCCTCTCCACCATGACTGACACAGTGCCTAAGGAAACCGCCCCTGTGTCGAAAGACTTGTCCACATTCTGTGCACGCAAACGAGTTCTCTCCAGTGTGCCTCCTGCCGTGCAAGACAAAGTTAGAGCGGTGTGTGAAGGCCTTCCCACACTCGCTGCACGTATAAGGCTTCTCCCCACTGTGGATCCGCTGGTGCTGGGAAAGGTAGGACTTGCGGTTGAAGGCCTTCCCACATTCCAGACACTCGTAGGGCCTCTCCCCAGTGTGGATCATCTGGTGCTGAAGGAGATGGGTGCTCTTTATGAAGGTCTTCCCACATTCTGTACACTCATAGGGCTTTACTCCAGAGTGGATTTTCTCATGTGAAGCAAGAAGGTTTTTCTTACTAAACGCCTTCCCACAGTCTCTGCATTTGAAGACCATTTCCTCTTCCTCCTGTATGAGCGTTGGACACAATTCCTCAGCTGTCCCTACATCATCTGGTATAGGACTCATTTTCCCAGAAAGCTTCTCCTCCTGGGCCTCTGTCTCTTGTATGCAGAGCCTTTCCTGAACTTCCGATGCATCATCGTGGCCTTTGGTTGGCACCCACTGCAAGCCTTCTGGGGTTCTTGGTGCTGACTGTTCCTGGAATGAGGTTGCCTCAAACAGCTGTGGCTTAGATGTGGTAGGTCCTATGGCCTTGGTTTTTCCACTGTCACCTAAAACAAATTCAGCACACAACAGGGATTGTGAGAAATAACACAGAAAAAACCAAAACCATGCTACTGAAAACACATGACCACACACGCCCAAGAAGATAAAAACAGTGCCTCTCTGGCTGCTGTACGATCTCCAAAGCCTAGGTTAGCAGTCTTTTTCCTGGTCCTTGGATTCCAATGCTGTGAAAGGGAGATCTCGAGGGAAGACTGGGTCAGGGCTAGAGGAGGGCCTTTCATGGAGTCGTTCTCAGAATTACAGGCCGCAAGTGGCTTGTCAGAGTGAGACTAACACCTTGAAGTAGAATTCCTGTAGGTGATGCACCTAATACTGTCCCCAAGGAAGACACACAATATGTGACGAGAAAGAAAGCACCTGCGGATGCCTCAGCTTTTGTTCAACACCATAGGAAGTAACCTTCAAGTCCCAGAGGTGTCCAGAATTCCTTTTGAAATTCATTATGGATTCCTACCATTAAAACCAATAAGTGTTTTTTTTTTTTTTTTTTCTTTCCAAATAAGTACTTCTGGCCCACAAGCAATTTACACAGAAGAGATGACTCAGGGAAAGACACAGCTATACAAGAAAGAAACTAACTGGGCAGCGGTGGCACACCTTTAATCCCAGCACTTGGGAGGCAGAGTCATGAGGATCTCTGTGAGTTCGAGGCCAGCTCTGGTTTACAGAGCTAGTTCCAGGACAGACAGACAGAGAAACCCTGTCTCATGGGGAGCGGGGAGAGGAGAAAGAAAAGCAGATTATATGATTAAAAGGTTTGGCTTGGACAGTCAGACATGGTGGTGGATGCCGTTAACCCTAGCACTCGGGAGGTACAAGCTGGTGAATTTCTGGGAGTTTGAGACCATTTTGTTCTACAGAGTGAGTTCCAGGACAGTCAAGGCTACATAATAGAGAACGCTGTCTCAAATATAGATAAACAAAAAACCAAGAAGGCTTCATTTGGGCTAGAGACACGGTGCAGAGAGTAAAATATTGCTGGTTGTTCTTCCAGATGAGAATACAATCTTTGGTAGAGGAACGAGAAAAACCAACCCCACAAAGTTGTTTTCCGGCCTTCACACATGTGCTACCCACTTCTAATAGTAAATTTACACACACACACACACACACACACACACACACACACACGTGCACAGCAGATTATTCAGGAAGACATGGGCAAGGGATTGCCTTTTATGTCAGAAGGCCTCTCATGAACAGAAGACTGGAAAGGGCAGTAGGTAAAACAGAGTTGAGGGTGGAAATTGGGAGAATAAGGAAGGACACCTTTACCCTCAGTGTCCGGGAGGAAGTGAGAGGAACATCAGAGGACTAATGTGAGAACAGGCCATGCAGACCCCTCCTCCACATGGCTACACAGGTGCATTACAACTTTCAAAGCATTCAGTGAACAGTAAGCAATTAAGCCTTAGATGCATCCCCTCTGGCTCAGACGTTGATGCTAATACAGCAACACATCAGGTGGTTATATTTTCTCCAATGGAACCCAATGGTCAATGAGTGCTACCAATTTCCAGGGACAGACTGGGTGCAGGCTAGTAATAGGTGTTGATAAAGAAAGGTCTGCTCTTCTTGAACACATAGGGCAGTAACACATCCCAGCCCCATGGACCCCGAGTAGACCAAATGCCTACTTCTTTAGATAAGAACTGGGGGACTGGAGAGATGGCTCAGAGGTTATAAACACTGACTGCTCTTCCAGGGAAACTGGGTTCAATTCCCAGCACCCATATGGCAGCTCACAACTCTAACTCCAGGATCCAACACCCTTACACTCACATACATACAGGCAAAGCACCAATAAAATAGAAATAAATTTTAAGGGGCTGGAGAAATGGCTCCGTGGTTAAGAGCACTGACTGCTCTTCCAGAGGACCCAGGTTCAATTCCCAGCACCCATATGGCAGCTCACAAATGTCTGTAATTATAGTTACAGCTGATCAACACTCATGGCAAAACACCTATCACATTTAAAAAAATAAATTAAGAACAGAACTGGTGTTCCTGGAAGAGGGTATAATATCTCTTCCTCTTGCAATCTGGGGGTCTGTCAGAAGATGGCAGGACAACCTTAGAGCCAACAGGTTGATGACACAACGGTCCCAGCTGTCCACACATGTGTTGCTGTATTAGCATGCTGAGCCACTGAGTCTGGAGTTTGACGTGGAAGTTAATGCTAACTTAGTCACACTTACTGTGGTGGTTAAAAGGGCAGTGTCCCCCATAGGCTTTGAATATGTGGTGTCCAGTCGGTGGCACTGTTTAGGGGGACTTAGGAGGTGTGACATTGCTGGAAGAAGCACACCTCTAGGGGCAGGCTTTGAGGTTTCAAGTGTCTTGTGCCATTTCCAGTGTGTTCTCTGCTTCCTTCTCTAGGTGCCAACTCTGCTGCTTGCCAGCTTACTTCCCTGCCTAATGGACTCTTATCCCTCATTAAGCATAAGGCAAACAAACGCTTCCTTCTCTACGTTGCTTGGTCATGCTGTTTTATCAGAGCTCATGACAAGGAAGCCAGGGTAGTTCAAGCACACAAAGGGGTCCCAAGAGAGCAGCTTACGAACCTGACTCCTTCCCAGGAGCAAGGACAAATGGGACAAGGCTGGGGAATCAGAAGGGCCAGATCACAGGGTTCCACTAAGAAATATTCCAGCAGGCTGGAGAGATGGCTCAGGAGTTAAGAACACTTGGTCTTTCAAAGGATCTGAGTTCAGTTCCCAGCACTCACACGAGGCATCTCATGGTGGCCTGTAACTTCAGCCGCAGGGGACCCGGTGCCCTCTTCCTGCTCTGCCAGCCCTACACGCCTGTGGCATGTACTCACAGACATAGAAATTAAAAAAAGCTTCCCAGGAGACCCCTGTCCGACCTCCAGGCCCTTCCTCCTGGATTCTTACCTGAACAGGTGCTTTGGGAGAGGGACTTTGCCACTGCCCATGGTTCCTGCCCTTGTTCCAGTAGCTTCAGTGTGGGAACAGGACACCCTTCAGGGAGAACAAAAAAGCACACAAAGATATTGATAAAACAAGATAAAGACCCTCCATTTCACAGGATTTGACGAAACAAGATAAAGACCCTCCATCTCACAGGATTTGGTCCTGACCTTGGAATGAAGCTGCTCCCATCTACACAAAAAAGGTGAAACATAACTCAGAAGCTGTAAGTTTGCTATTCCATACTAAACAGTTCATCAGAAATCGATACTTGGTTGGCATAATCACTCAGTCAGTAAAGGCACTGCTGCCAAAACTGAGTACAGAATGGGAAAATATCTTCACTAACCCCACATCAGAGAGCTCATCTCCAAAATATACAAACAACTCAAGAAATTGGACACCAAAAGGTCACATAATCCAATTAAAAAAAAAATGGAGTACATACCTAAACAGAGAACTCTCAACAGAGGAATCTAAAATGGCTGAAAGACACTTAAGGATGTTCAACATCCTTTGTCAGAGAAAAGCAAATCAAAACAACTCTGAGATTCCATCTTACACCTGTAAGAATGGTCAAGATCAAAAACACTGATGACAACTTATGCTGGAGAGGTTGTGGGGAAAAGGGAACACTTCTGCATTGCTGATGGGAATGCAAGCTAGTACAGCCCCTTTGGATGTCAGTGTGACGATTTCTCAGAAAATTAGGAAACAACTTTCCTCAAGACCCAGTAATACCACTTTTGGGTATCTATCCAAAGGATGCTCAATCGTGCCACAAAGACATGTGCTCAACTATGTTCACAGCAGCTTTGTTTGTCATAGACAGAACCTGGAAACAACCTAAATGCCCCTCAACTGAAGAATGGATAAGGAAAATGTGGTATATTTACACGATGGAGTATACACAGCAGAAAAAATAATGACAACTTGAATTTTGCAGGAAAATGGATGGATCTAGAAAACATTATTTTGAGTGAGGTAACCCAAACACAGAAAGACAATTACCACATGTACTCACTCATAGGAGGTTTTTAAACATAAGGCAAAGAAAGCCAGCCTACAAAACACAATCCCAGAGAACTTAGACAACAATGAGGACACTAAGAGAGACTTACATAGATCTAATCTACGTGGGAAGTAGAAAGTACAAAAAGACAAGATCTCCTGAGTAAAGTGGGAGCATGGGGACCTTGGGGAAGGGTTGAAGGGGGAGGGGAGAGGCAAGGAGGGGAGCAGAGAAAAATGTAGAGCTCAATAAATATCAATTAAAAAAAAGAAAAAAGAAAAACCAAAACCAAACAAACAAAAAACTGCGGCAGGACCTGAGTTTGATTCCTGGGACTCACATGATGGAAGGAAGAGAACCAACTCCCACACTTGTTCTCTGACCTTCACACACTGTAGCAAGCATGCATACATGTGTGCATGCAAACATTTTAAAATGTAATGTATTTTTTATTTTTTTCATTTCTTTCCTTTTTTGGGAGGGGGTATTGACACAAGGTTTCTCTGTGTAACAGTCTGGGTATCCTGGGACTCATTTTGTAGACTAGGCTGGCTTTGAGATCATAGCGTGATTTTGGGTCAGCCTGAGCTGCAGAGTGAGACGATCCTACTTTTAAAAAGGTGGGGCAGGGTAGGATGGGGGCTTGCAAGATGGCTAAGTTGCTAGCCACCAAGCCTGACAACCAGAGTTTGATTCCTAGCACCCACATGGTTGAAAGAGAGCACTAGTTTCTGCAAGTTGCCCTTTGATCCACATACAACATATGTATACCACATGTATACAAAATAAATGAAATATTTTTTAAAGTAGAGTAGAAAGCCTTACCCAGAGACACCAGGAACCCAGAGACTTCCAGCATCACCTCTTGGTACAGAATCTTCTGAGCAGGGTCCAGCTGCCCCCACTCCTCCTGGGTGAAAGCCACGGCTACATCTTCAAAGGTCAGAGACACCTTGCCAAGTCAAACAGGTACAGTGTTAGCCTTGAGGTTCAATGAGAGGAACTAGACTCTGCCTCACTGAAACAGATTAAGAGCAATAAAGGCCCAAACCACACAGGTTACCTATGCTTCACGGTGGGTTTCAAGGTTAGGGAGATAATGCTTGGAGAACACAGAGGTGTAAGGAGAGAAGCGTCCCGTGTTAAGAGTGATCAGAGGCTGACAGCTCACACCTCTAACCCCAAAACTTCAAGGCTGAAGGCAGGAAGATTGCTACTATTTCAAAGCCAGCCTGGGCTACACAGCAAACTTAAGGCCAGCCTGTGCTACATGAGATTCTATCTCAAAAACAAGAGCAAAAAAGAAACAAAAGAACTGGGCTGGCAAGATGCTCAGTGGTTAGGACACTGCTGCTAAGTTTGCCCACTGAGTTCGACACCTGGAACTCATGGTAGGAAGGGAACCTGACGCCCTAAAGCTGTCCTCTGTCCTCCACACTCAGGCTGTTACATACAGGCACACACACATACCCCATAAATAAAGTAAAAAAACAAAAATAAATAAATAAATACAGGTGAAAAGATGACTGCTTCAGCCAGGCGGTGGTGTCGCACGCCTTGAATCCCAGTACTTGAGAGACAGAGGCAGGAGGATCTCTGTGAGTTCGAGGCCAGCTTGGGCTACAAGAGCTAGCTAGTTCCAGGACAGGCTCCAAAGTTACAGAGAAACCCTGTTTCAGGAAATAAAAAAGATTACTGCCTCAAACAAAGTCAGAAGGACAGACAACAAAAACACATAGACTATGAAATGCGGACAGCAAGGAGTCTAGGAAAAGAGAAGAATGAAGACACGAAGGGGACACAGTACAGGCAGGAGCAGAGCCTCTCCATGATGCTCACAGCAACTGCTTTCAAGGCAGCCAGGATGGCTCACTGAATCCAACGTGGCTTCACAACTCCTGTAGGCTGTCCTCTGATCTCCTTACACACGCATGCATACACACTAAAAACTGTACAAACAAAGCATTTCTATCTGGCAACAGGAATTTTAAAAATTTACTTATTTTTATGTGCACAGATGTTTTTACCTGCATTGATGCCTGTCTGTCTTTATGAGAATGCCAGATCCACCTGAACTGGAGTTGCAGACAGCTGTGAGCGGCCATGCGGGTGCTGGAAATTAAACCTGGGTCCTCTAGAAGATCTGCCAGTGCTCTTAACCACTGAGCCATCTCTCCAGCCCCGACAACAGGAATTTTTAAAAGAGAAAGTCTCCAATGCTCACTATGAAAATGCTCTTAATTTCCCACAGCCTCTGCGGTCACCATCATCAGATCGTCACATCACAGTGAGTGCCGGAAGCTAAAGGACCTTGGCCAGCTCACCAGGGGCCACACATCATAGACCGCAGGCAAGGATGGCACACTGGCTTAAGGTTGTTGTAAGAGTAATTCTGACACTCCATTAATCGCAAGGAGAATCTAAAGTAACAAGCTTATTCAAAACCAAGATGCAGAGCTGGAGGGCTGCTGAGATTGGTTCCCAGCACCCCCCCCCCCCCCCCCCCCCCCCCCCCCGCAGTGTCTCCAGCTCCAGGCTTCGCATGGCCTATTCTGGCCTTCAAGGGTACAGTACTCACGTGCACATACCTTTCTGCTAATACACGCTATCATTTAAGGAAGATTTTTTAAAAATTTGGGAGTTTGTGGAATGTTTCCACTCTTTTTTTTTTTTTTCTGACAAACCCATTTAACCACCTCTGAAAAACACCCTCTGACATGGCTAGACAAAGCAAGGTTTATAGCTGGCTTCATAACGAATGTACCTGAGTTGGTTGTGGAAGTTCACACCCATAATCCCAGCTTTAGGGGAGCTGATAAGGAATTCCAAATTTGAAGCCAGCCTGGGCGACACAGTAAGATCTTGTCAAAATACAAGAACAACAAGAAAGGTACTGGCAGCTACTTGAGACAACGTCCCGACCAGCTTCCCATGTGGTCTAGACCTTTCTTAGGCCTCCTAGATTCCTAGGGGAATTTCACAATGAGACGTCTACCTTTTTCCTTGTAGGATTCTGACAGTCCTGATGTTAGGACACTTCAAAAACTGGGAACATGATGATCTAGGATAAATAATACCAGATACGCCTCCCTACCTAGAATACCCTAACCTTCAGTGACTTTCTTAAACCAGTATTGCTACACAGACGCCTGGTCAGTCTTGGTGGATCCTTACAGCACAGCAGGAATCATAAGTATGACTTGACACCATAGAGGAAGCAACACATACTCTTGCAACGGCTTACCTACCTATGACAAAGAAAAACACGGCTCTCACCTCAAAGGTGGGAAAAGAGTTGATTCGGAAGCTATCCATGGTCCTGGAACTCAGATTTAGGCTAACCCAAATGCCATGTTCCAAAAGATTTTTTTTTCTTTTTCCTGTTTTCTTTTCTTTCTTTTTCTTTTTTTTTTCAAGACAGGGGTTTCTCTGTGTAGCTTTGGAGCCTGTCCCGGAACTAGCTCTTGTAGACCAGGATGGCCTCGAACTCACAGAGATCCACCTGTCTCTGCCTCCCAAGTGCTGGGATTAAAGGCGTGTGCCACCACCATCCGGCAAAATGTCATTTTACTGATTTTTTTTTTTGTTGTTGTTGTTCCAAGAGTTTTAAGAAACAGAACAAAGGACATAAATAACGATAACTTTTCAAATACACTCACTTCAGGCAGGTAGGTTAGAGCCCAGTGGAGAAACCTCTGCTATAGGTGGCTAAAGATTGCCCAAGATAATTAGTAACCAGGCTCTTAACCCGCAACATTCCAGTCCCTCCACAGTCACTGGCGTTCTAGCGCAGCTTCCTTTCGGAAATTCCAGTTCAAACCGAGCTTCTTTCGGAAGCACCCGTGGCCCCAAAAGAATGACAACAGTAGAGTTCCACCCAGGGAGCCCTCTCGGTTCCCTGATCAATGATTTAAAGCTCACAGTCCACTAACCTGCCGGTGGTCCTTCCAGGCCGCCATAGTTAGACTCTTTTGGGGGGAGTGGGGGAAATCGAGCGCCTTGCAGGCCTCGGCTGAAGCTCCCAAAGCGCCTCCGGCCTTAGCCGGGTGACCACGGAAACCGGCTGTACTCGGGACCTCGGGATCTTCGTGGAAATGACGAACCTGCCCGAACCGTTGTCCTTAGGGCGAGACTGAGAGGTTGTGGTCCTCAGGAGGACCAGACCTCACAAGGTCGTGCGGGCTTCCGGGGAAGAGTTTTACGTTCCAGTCCTTTTTGAATCCCGCCACAGGCTTGGAAACTGATCCTAGATTCCAGATGTTCAGATAACTTGGGAACCGATGCGCTGAGGCAAATGGCTTCCGCGGCGAGTAACCGGGAGTGCACTCCGTTCTGGTCTATTATTGGGCCCGCGCGCAGCATAGTCTTCTGGGTAATGTAGTTTTTTTTTTATTTTTTCCCACTTGTCCGACCAAATGGGGAGCGCATCTAGAGTAAAAGGCACACCTAGTGTGAAAGGCACTCAAAGGTCACAGTTTCCCTCAAATGCGGGGACATCTAGAGGACGGAATTTGTGGGGGAGGACCTAGGAACAGGGGTAAGACTGCTGTTGTTCATCCGGAGAAATTTGGGAGGGAAAAAGATTTGCCCATCTTAGGGTTCGTGCAACTTTGTGTGGGTCCTGTTGCTCAGCTGTTCTTTTGGTTTGTCTTTTTCAGATACTTCCTACCAAGATGGTTTTCTGAGCTGGCGACAGAAAATGAAGCTTAACATTCTTCGTGGGGAATTCATCTTATTTATCCCATCATCCATCCTTACTGCCCTAGATGTTTCGTGGCTCAAAACAGCCTCCAGAGAGGCTCGGACTTCAGGGTCACTAGATCATTTGAAGGCTGCAAGGATAGGAGATTTAGGGGCCTCAGGGTCAGTTTGATACGTTTCCAAGATAAAATAATAACAGTGCCATATATGCAGTTCAGTACTGGAAATGAACCTAAGCCTGAGCGTGTAAATTTGGGAATGGTGAGCCCGGTGTGGTTGCTCACACTTAGAGTCCCAGCATTCAAGACAGTGATGCAGAAGAATTGCCATAAACTCCATGCCAGCATGGACTACATTGTGAGTTTCAGGCCAGCCTGGGCTACAGAGCTCTCTCTCCCATCCATCTGCTCTTTCCTTTCTGAGATATATAAACTCCATACTCTCAACTTCCAGTCAGGTATGGCCATACTTGCCTGTGATTTTGTTGGACCCTAGAGTCCAAACACCAAGGAGGAGTCGCTCCCAGAGACCACCTCTCACACCACAGCTGATGTAAAAGCATGAGGATTTTTGTTAATTCTGTCATGATAGGGTCTTCCAGCGTTAGAGGCCAGAAAGACCCCGAATTGCTACTACAGGCTACTTTTAAAGGAAAAAGCCACAGAAGCAATGTGGGGGGGAAGTGTCTGGGGGTTGTTCTTTGACTATTATGATTGGCTTATTCAAAAGGGCTATTACCAATAATTAGCTGGAGAGTGGTTGCCAGATCAGATGAGGTAAGGGGTCACTTTGAACCCGTTTCCCAGGGACTGAGTCAAAACATACGTGTGGGTAATTGTTCAGGACCTGAGTCAACATCTTTTTTTTTTTTTTTAGGAGAAAAGGACACATGCATTTAATTGACAAAAGACATTAAAACAGTCATATACTTACTATGAATCTCATTAGAAGTTTTTGACACATCATTTATATCTCTAATTTTGTATTTATGTGTGTGCACACGTGTGTGCATGCATGTGTGCATGTGTGTGTGTGTGTGTGTGTGTGTGTTCGCTGTGTGTATAGGTCAGGGGACAGCTTGCAGGACCCAGTTCTTTTCTTCCACCATCACTGGCTTTTTTTTCTTTTTTTTTTTTAATTTTTTTAATTAATTATTTATTAAAGATTTCTGTCTCCTCCCCACCACCACTTCCCATTTCCCTCCCCCTTCCCCTCCCCCAATCAACTCCCCCTCTCTTGTCAGCCCGAAGAGCAGTCAGGGTTCCCTACCTGTGGGGAGTTGAAGGACCTCCCACTTCCTTCCAGGTCTAGTAAGGTGGACATCCAAACAGCCTAGGCTCCCACAAAGCCAGTACGTGCAGTAGGATCGAAACCCAGTGCCATTGTTCTTGCTGAGTCAACATCTTAAAGGTTAACATTCACAAAGACTCAGGGAAATGGAAAGTTCTGCTTTTTTATTTTTATTTATTTTTGATTTTTCTTTTTTAAATTTATTTATTTATTGTATATATAGCATTCTGCCTACATGCATGCCTGCAGGCCAGGGCACCAGATCTCTCATTACAGATGGTTGTAAGCCACCATGTGGTTGCTGGGAATTGAACTCAGGACCTTTAGACAAGCAGGTGATGCTCTTAACCACTGAGCCATCTCCCCAGCCCTTATTTTTGGTTTTTCAAAAGGGTTTCTCTGTAGCTTTGGAGCCTGTCCTGGAACTAGCTATTGTAGACCAGGCTGGCCTTAAACTCCGCCTGCCTCTGCCTCCCAAGTGGTGGGATTAAAGGCGTGCACCACCACCGTCCAGCTAAAATAGCATTTTCTTTCTACTGTGTGTGTCTGGGAAATTGGGTAAATGTGTGGTAGGTGTGTGCATGCCAAGGCCAAAATGTAACAGTTAGAAGACAACCCGGAGGATTTGGTTCTCTCCTACTGTGTGGGTACTCAGGATCAAACTCAGAGCTTCAGCCTGGCCCTGCCTGGGTCTCTCTTCCTGCTGAACTATCCCCCCAGGCCCTAGGTTCATATATACTGGTCGTTCTACAGCCAAGGGTGTTAGTTTGGAAGGTTGTAGAACTTAATCATCGTGGCCTGGCTAGAGAGGAGAAAAGTGCTTCCTATAGGGAAGCAAGTCCAGAGCTCTAGTGTGGGGACTATAGCACATTCCAAAGACCCGCTGGTCTTGTGGGGCTTTTTCTTTTGCAGTTCCAAGTGAATCTTCCTCCCCAGGGTTGTCTTGGCTTCTTGGCTTGAAAAGAACAAGAAATGAATGAAATGAATGGTGCCAAGGTGAGATCCCCCCCCCCCCCCCCCCCGCCCCCGGGATCTTGAATCTATTGTCTGGCAAATAGCTTTGTACTACAGAGTTGTATCACCAGCCCCAACTTGAAATCGGCATGCTGAAGAGATGGCTCAGATGTTAAGAGCACTTGTTGCTCTTGCGGAGGACTTGGGTTCAGTTCTCAGTCCCTGAATTGTGGCTCACAAGTATCTATAACTCTTGTTTTAAGGAATTTACTGTCCGATTCTGATTTCTGCAAGCACCAGGCAAGCACATGCTGCACACACACACACACACACACACACACACACAGAAACACACACACACATGTAGCTAAGCATTCATACACACAAAATAAGTCTAAACAGTAACTGAAACTTGGAAATCAGCTGGGGTGGTGATGTACACTTGTAATTCCAGTGCCAGTGGGTAGATGCGGGAAAATCAGACAGCGAAGCCCATCTTTCACTCTGTAGTAAGTTCAATGCCACTCTGGGCTACATGAGACCCTGTCTCAAACAAAACAACAGCAAAAATAGGAGCCAGCAAGATGGCTCAGTCGGGAGACGGTTCAGTGGATAAAGTTCTTGCCGCCCTGCTGTGGCCTGAGTTCCATCCCTGGAAGCCACGCGGTGTGACAAGAGAACCAAATCCTGCAGGTTGTCGTCTGAACTCCACACACACACACACACACACACACACACACACACACACTAAATGAACAAGATGTAATAATAGCTTCCACAAATCTGAAATCCCTCAGAGAGACCTGTCAGTCGTGCTCCTGTTGTTCACGGTCTCTGCTACTGAGGGTCCCACGTTTGCTTCCTTGCCTTTATTGAAAGACAGCAGAGACTCTGATTTCTCTCTTTCTCTCGTGGGGGTGGGGAGGAATCAAGCCCAGGGCTGGCACAAGCGAGGCAGGCCCCCTGCTACTGAGCTACAGATCTCCATGTCCTTCTGTATTTTTCAATTTGAGACAAAGTCTTGCTGAATGACACAGTCTGGCCCTGAATTTACTCTGTAGCTCAGCCAGGCCTTGAACTCTTAATCTTCCCCACTCACACTCCTGAGTAGCCGAGGTTACAGGCCTGTACCTGGGCCAATTTCCCTTGCCTTGTTAAAGTGAAAACATTTCGCTGGGTGGTGGTGGCGCACGCCTTTGATCCCAGCTCTCAGGCAGGCAGAGATAGGCCAGCCTGGTCTACAAAGTGAGTTTCAGGACAACCAATGATACACAGAGAATCCCTGTCTCAAAAAACAAAGCAAAACAAAACAGAGACAGACAAGAAAAGAAAAGAAAACATTCCTAGTAAAGCTGAATATCTTTAAATTAAAAAATTATTCTTTACTTTTGAGGCCTGAAACTCACTGTGTAGACCAGGCTGGCCTCAAACTTAGGGATCTGCCTCTGCCTCTGCCTCTGCCTCTGCCTCTATCTTCTAGGATTAAAGGTGTGAACCACCAAGTCCCAGCTAAGGTGAACATCTTTTGACCACTGCCATCACCTGCCTTGTCTAAAGTTCATCTTCGGATGTATCACTGAAATATAAAATTACTGGACTCTTTTAACACATTTCAGTAAGATGGTTGCATGAATGAATGAGCATTAGGGTTTTGATTTGATTGCAAAATATTTAAAGATTCAGTTTGTTTTCTTCCAGAGTATAGTAAGTACTCAGTGACTCTGCTCACAAGACAGTGGAACACAGTTTTATATTCCTAGTCTTCAGAAGCCACTGGAAGCTTTTCGTTACCTGTTTTGTTTCGTTGGTTTATTTTTGTTGTTGGTTTGGTTTGGTTTGGTTTGGTTTGGTTTGGTTTGGTTTTTGAGACAGGGTCTTGCTGTGTAGTCCTGGCTGACCTGAAACTCACAATGTAGACCACTAGTCTGGCCTCGAACTCACAGAGATCCAGCTGCTTCTGCCTCCTGAGTGCTGGGGTCAAAGGTGTGCAGCACAGTCCCAGCCTTGTTACTGTGTTGAGACGGGGTCTCACACTGGACTGGAACTTAATGTCTAGCTCTTTTGGGCTTCTGACTCATAGCCCTCCTCCCTCCTCAGCCTTTGGAACACTGAGTTTCTAGGCAGGCATTAGCCACCACACCTGCCTGCAGTGACATGTTATTACAGATGGGGGATTTCCTGTTATAGGGGACAGTGACCTTTGAGGACATCACTGTGCACTTCACCCCTGAGGAGTGGCAGGGTTGAACCCTAAGCAGAGAAGCTTGTATAAGGATGTGATGTTGGAGAACTACAGCAACAACCTGGCCTCTGTGGGCAAGGAGGGCATTGTGGCTGAGGTTGGGGG